ACTGTTCCGAAAAGGGTCGACCATAACATATCTGAATTCAACATGGGTTGAATTAATAATAGAAAGAACCCGAGCATCACATGATAGAACCAACAACACAAGATTGAAATAAAAACATGACCACCTTAGGTCAAACTCGATAAAAAAATAAATCATATTGACGTCGAGTTCGCTTCGACACACGGGATTCAACATGGGCTGAGTCAATAATAGAACGAACCCGAGCAACACATGATTGAACCAGTAACGGGGAGTCGGCGATAACCTCGATCCTGACGATAAGGTAGTCGAACTGCCCCAGTTTTGACTTGATGTGACTCGTTGCCAAAGTCATCCATTCCACCCCATCGTCGACCTAAGATTGGGCACGCACACACCCGCGTTCATTTGAGTCCTTTTTTTTAATGACAAACCGCTTTGTGGATGATTCTTGACCATGTGCATTACTCGAAATGTTGCATGTCCCACCTTATAGGAAATGGTTTGGGGTGCTCCTCCTCACCCGAGTACAAAGCTCAGATCTAAGAAGTCGGGCCGTCTCCATCGAATCGGCAAAGTACCCCCTCGTAGAATGGTCCACTCTAGGTCGATAACAGGGCCGGCTCTTATAGCAACGTACCCCTGTCCCAAATGCTTCCTAGAAAGAGAGAACGTGTCCACCATGAGTATATTTTAGTTGCTCTCATTTTTCCTAAGCTCAAGGTAACTTGGATGAAAAGAGTCAAAAAATATGTAAAATAAGAATTGTTTACACAAATATAGACATATGAGGTCGTTCGAGGTATAAAAGGTCATCTTGGGATAATGGCTAAATCCATTTAGTCTTATCTTCCTTATTTGAATCAACTTCCTTTTGCGGCGCGCACCAGAATAACCCTTTCAAAATACGTGTCTTTTTGACAAGCAGACAATTGAAAGGTAGAAAGAAAACAATCCTTTTCACTAGGTCCAAGTTGGCACAATCAATCTCCTTTGCAAGTATCCTTCCACCCACCTGCATACTCGAAACAACCAAACAAGTCCAAAAAATCCAGCAACTCGTATTCCCGTCAGATCCAACCTTTCACATGCATGACTCCACATCCTCTACCCTTCCTTTTCCCTTTGAATCTTCGATGAAAAGCAGGGTTTAAAAAAGTGTGGTCTCACACATGTGAAGGCGAACCGAGTCGTTAACTGGCGTTGATTGAAGTGGTGTTGAATGCGCCCTGACTCGCTCAAGAAAGCCGAGTAAAAATTATAATTATTGTCGAAGAAAACTGCAGTCCCAAGACAAAACCCAGCCAATCAATAGACTGAATTCATCCCCAACTTGCTACAGGCGATAGTCCCAAGTGTGAAGACTGCGAGCCGCACACATCCCAAAAAAAAACCACCGGTCCTTCGTCAATGCCAACTAGTCCCAAGTGGTCCCAGGTGGTCCCAAGTGGCCCCACACTACCGCCCTCAACACCAGATGGCTCCAATTATCAAAACCGCTCACTCCGTGTGCCCCCCCCAAAAAAATAAAGGCGGTCCCGAATGTCGAAACCGTAACTGTCGTGAGTCTCAATGGTGACTATGTAGCCTGCTCGTATCCCAACTGGTCCTGCTGGCATGCGCACCGTGTCACGTGGTCCCAAAAAAAAAAAAAAAAAAAAAGCCTGACACGCACATCCCGGCTCATTGACGAGTGCCACACAACACAATCCTCCACACGCACCACCAAGCATGCTCCAAGGTTGCTGACCACACCCTGCTGCACTGCTAAAAAAAATAATGCCGCACAACATAGCTGAAGACCACTCTTGGAACCAAGTCCCATGTGTGCACCAATGCTGGAACCGCCTTTGCATCACGCTAGTGCACTTCACCCCCCGCCGCCGTGCGAGTACCATTTCCCCCCAAGAAAAAACGACAGCGTTGTCGCGCGCTGCGTCGCTTTGAATCGTTACCAGAAATGACACCAGTATCAGAAGCAGTCCCAACGCTTATACGGTACCGAAAAAGAGACCGATGTCGTGCAGCCACCGTCAATGCCGCATTGCCTTAGCACCCCACCGGAGTTACCACACACGTACCATTTTAAAAAAATAAATAGCGGCGGGGTTATCGCTCACTGCATCACCCGAAACTGGTCCCACAACATCCTGTAGTACCACCTCCGGATCACACACAAAAAGTCCACCGCGCTAAAAATTTGGCAGTACCTCCCTTCAAATTACTGCCGCCAAAATGCGCCACAAAATGGGCAACATTCTGGGCTACCAGACCCGCACGGGCCCGGCCGCCCGGCCCCCCTTTAACCCTCTTAGCCCCTTTAAAAATACTTTATACCCCTCTTTTCCCCCTTGACAGCCAACTCTCAAAAAATGAAATGAGCCTGGATTTGGGATCCTCTAGGATAGCTCAGAAATACAAAATATATATGGATTCATAGATTCTTTGTTATGTCTACTATAGATAAATTTTTTTGAATCTATCATATATATATATTTTTTTTTATTTTTTTTTTGCACGCCCGGGTACCCCAGGTGTCAGACCCCCTCGGGCGTCACGCCTGGGTGCCCGGCCGGCCATGAAAAATTTCCTAGGTTGAAAGGCCTTTAAAAGGGGTGAGATTATTTTCCTTACATTATTTTATTTTTATTTCAAATTTTATGAAGACTTTGGAAGTGACACTCGACGAAAAGTTGTTTGGTTTGGTTTGTAGGGTCGCAGTGGGCCGGGTAGGAGAGTGATAAGGAATAAGGAACCCAGGTTCCACCTGGGCCGAAGTAGGCCAGGTCGTCGTAGTAGACGGATTCTTGTTGAGAGTAATTGCTGTTTTTTAAGAGAGAGAGGGGGTGATGGAGAAAATATTGTTGTAAGAAGTCTGAGATAATTAGAATAGTGGGATACATAAAGATTACTGTGAGAGTTAATGTGGTGGAATGGATGATGGGTCCTCAGTTCGGCTGGGTCCGTAAGCTAAACTGGCTGATGCTGCCACAATAACTCCGGGTTGAATTGTGAGGTCCCCGGCCTCCCTTCTGTTTATATAATGAAATATTGGATTCCTGTTGAAAAAAAAAAAAAAAAAAGTTGTTTGGTTTGCTATTCTGCACAACTTTTTTTTTTTTTTTTTTTTTTCCCTTGTGGGATATGGGCCGGGACCCTGCACGACCCAGTCGCCCGGCCGGGCGTCCCGGTCCTGGGCAGGTACCATGCCAGCTTTGGGGACCCGAGCGGCACGGCTGGTAGCCAAGGCAACATTCCCCTACCATAAACAATGCTGCCCCCGCCATAAAAAAAACAGGCAGCACCTCCCCTCCAGAAATAACGTTGCTGCCGCCATGCTGAAATTTCGGCAGCATGACCCCACTAAACGGGGTGCAGCCTGCCACAACCTAGACCGTCGGCACCTCCGCCAGTGCTGCCTCGAAGCTTGCCGGTGCCGATGAAACCCTGTCGTTAATTTAATAAAACCTTGGTCCTGGATAAAATCCAGGCCCAAAGTATCGTCCTTGCCGCACAAACCCGGTCCAACAACGCGGCCCCAAGAGTCGTCCCAGATGCCCAGCACCAGCCTGAGGGTGGAGCAGAGTGCTCCCTACGTCAGCTATGGCCGCCGTGCTTCTCCTCCAGCCCTCCTCTGCAGACCTCAAGCACCGCCTCCAGCAGCTCCTCCAGCAGCCCACCAACACTCAAGGGTACCACGAATGCTTCTGTGTGGCAGCTGGGGACAAATGCCTTTTTTATTATGGCTGAGGAGTGCTGCTCGCCACTCCAGCCCCCAGGCAAAATCGCAGGCTCATAGTGAGCCCTTGATCTGCAGGAAGATCAAAGGCTAACTATGGCCGCACGACAACCACAACCTTAGTGGGGCAGATTCTTTAACTGCCCTATTGTTGATTTTCCTCTTCTTTACTTCAGCTATCTCAGAATTTCAGGAGATAGATGAGCTCTTGGCATTTTTAAATCTATTTTTCTTTTATTTTTCTGATAAGGGGTTGAAAATATACAACCCCCGCCAAAAAGGCTTGAAAAGGGTGGCCTATCTGGACCGCTGATCTCGAGAGATCGGCGGCCCAGATACGCCGCCCTTTTCAAAGTTTTTGGGAGGGAAGTACCGTCCCTACCCTGCCCATACCCCCCCCCCCCCCCCACCCCCCCCCTCCCTTTTCAAAGTATTTGGGCGGAAGGACAACGTTGCGGAAAGCCAGGTACATTGTTGTCAACATCTGCTGAAGCCCGTGCTTGCTGAAACCCCACCACTAACACCCCCACCATAAACCCCCCAGCCCCTGAAATACACCCACCCACCCCCCAACAAAACTTCTCTGTTCAAAGTTTTCTTTGCGGATTTGGGAGATCTCGGCGAGCTCAGTCCAACCATGTTTTCAAAAATATAAAATATAAAATTTTGACCCACTTTTGGGCCCAGTCGGAGTTCCGGTTGGACCCCCGGCCTGGTTGGATCTGGCCCGGTCCAACCGGTCGGTTGCCCGCACAGCCCTGTTATGAACCCATTTGCTTGTTGCTCTGTTTTCTTTTTACCAACAAACACAGCCCCTTCTATTCTGGGGGGCATCAGTCCAGTTGCTTATCACCGGCAAGCAAATGCTTCTGAAAAAGCAGCGAAGGAGATTGGATAGAAAAAAGCGTCAGCCTACCCTTGTGGCTCACCCAGCTAAGCAAGGGGGGGCTGGTTAGGAGGGGGGGGTACCAGGGGGGGGAGGTCCTGGCAGTCCCTCAGGCCGCATATCCCTTGTTCAGCCTCGCAGTCGTAGTCTCCTAGCCTATGTATATCCTGCGTCTGTAATCCATGCGCTGTCTGTGTCCTAGTATCAACTTGCCCTTGTCCGTTTCACCCTTCACCCCGTCAGGTTTTCCCGAACATATTGTAGCTGTCCCCATGCGTAGTATCTATGCATGCTGTGTATTCCTAGCATTGACCTGTTGAATTTTTTGCTATATATATTTTTTTGCTGTGTTTTGTTTTGCTTCTTTTTTTTTTTTTTTTTTTTTTTTTTTTGCAGGGATCCTGACCAGGTTTAGACAGGGAGAACCTCCTTCCCAACAAGATGTGCTGAAATTTTGGAAGCCGGATGAGCGGACAATACTTGTGATAGAAGACGTAACTTCGCCGAACATTCTCAACTTCAATGCGGGAAGCCTGGTGCTGACAAAGCTGCCCAGACAGTTCTTTGTCGAGCTTCAGGTAATTAGTGATTAAAAAAAAAGGAAAAAAAGGCAAAAAAGGATGGAAAGTTGGAAACCCATCTAGCCCCAATTTCCCTCCTTTGCCCCCCCCATCCCCTTGGCAATAGGAAGAAAAAAGAGGAGAAGCACATAGTGCATTGATTATAGGGGACTCAATCCAGTTACCGTGAAGAATGCCGAACCCTTGCCTAGAATAGATGATCTATTAGATAGGGTGCAGGGCTGCAAATACTTCTCCAAAATCGATTTGAAGTCGGGGCACCATCAGATAGAAGTACAGCCTGAAGACCAACACAAGATGGCCTTTAGGATGCCTTACGGCCACTACGAGTTTGTTGTCATGCCGCTTGGTCTAACGAACATCTCCGCTACCTTTCAAAGATGCATGGACGACCTCTTTAGAGTGGCTTGATAGGTTTGTAGTTGTTTATTTAGACGATATTCTCATTTTTAGCAAGACGCTACTCGAGCATCAGCAACATCTTCGTCTGATCCTAGAGAAGCTGCGTACCGCGAAATTCAAGTTGAATCCGAAAAAGTGTGAGTGGGCCAAGCGCCAAGTTTTGTACCTAGGGCACATGTTAGATGGAGATGGAGTGCGACCGGAAGACCCCAAGATAGCAGCAATTTGTGAGTGGCGACCCTGCACGCGCTGACTGAGTTGCCGTCGTTCCTAGGACTGGTCAGTTACTACCGAAAGTTCCTACGGAATTTTACTGTGATCGCGGCACCACTGTGTAAACTGCTGAGGAAGGAAACAATTTCGAAGTGGGATAAGGACTGTACCTCAGCCTTCAAAAAGCTGAAAAAGTCCGTGATCGAATATCCGGATAAAGGCAAGCGCCTTCCAAGCATTCGCGGATATCAAACTAATGTGTGTGTGTGTGTGTGTGTGTGCGTGTTTGTGTGTGTGTTTGTGTGTGTGTGTGTGTGTGTGTGTGTGTGTGCTGTCTCTTATACACATCTAGATGTGTATAAGAGACAGGTGACTGCACAGCGACCCTACACTCCCTTTCATTGTCCCAACAGACGCGAGCCAATACGGGATCGGCACTGTATTCAAACAGAATGATGGGGAAAGGTACAGGCCCGTAGAGTTCATGTCTTGTCGATTGCCTAGTGAGAAGGTCACAGCCTTGACATATGAGTGCGAGCTGTTCATGCTTAGCGAGGCACTAAGTCATTGGCGACACTATCTCCTACTAAGACACTTTTAAAGTCTACTCTGATCACGAGACCCTGCAATGGCTGAAAATGCAGGCCCGAATGGCACCAAAGCTGCGTCGGTCCTTCCATCCATCCGTCGGTTTGTCCGTCTCTCTCTCTCTCTCTCTCTCTCTCTCTCTCTCTCTCTCTCTCTCTCTCTCTCTTTTCTTCCCCCCCCAACCCATGATCTTCCATTTCAGCTAAAAATACTGTCCATCTTACCCTTCTTCCTCGAGCCGCAATCAAATCTGCTCTGTTGCAGTTTTTCCTCCTGAGTAGTAATGACCAGGTACAGAAAATTCAGGAACAGCCCTGTCTTTTCCCTTCAAAGTCATTTCTTGTCCTCTTCCATGCTGCCTATGAAGCAGTGACTGTACTCACAAGTCATAATCCAAGGAAAAAACCCTAGTCAAAGGGCTATGGGACAGGGCCTAGGGTCGTGCCTTTCAGTCTGTGTCCGACTTCTGGGTGGCATCAAAAGAAGACACTGTCTCGGGTCAGGAGTCGCCCGAGACATCCCTCAAGTCAAATGAACCGGGGCATGGGGGATCGAGAGGACCTTACCCACAGAGCCTGGAAAAGCGGCCACAGGCCCAAGGAAAGTCAAGCGTCAGGCCCAAGGAAAGTCGACCGTCAGGCCCAACATGGGCACAATTGACCAAGAGTCAAAGATCTTATAAGTCATTTTGACCACATATCTCACACAATCCAAAGGCACAACAAAAGCTTCCAGAAACGTCCAGACTAGCCGGGACCAGGGGACACACAAGCCAACGTGAGGCAGGTCAAGTTCGAGTCAACCTTATAAATGCAGGCCCTGCCTCAGTTCGGCCATTCATTCTGCTTGGGCGAGTTGATGCTGAGCGCATTCACTCGAGGAGACTCCATAGCGCCCCGTCAGAAGCAGAGCGAGGTAGGGTTGCACCATAGACAACTGGGTGTTGCCCGTAGGTTAGGGGAGGTGCTGTCTCTATAGCTATAGCTGTAGGTGAGAGTGTGGGTGAGGACATAGGGTTCCAGGTCTGATCTGGATGCTGGATTTCAGGTTATGAGAGTTCTGCTGACCTGATGTTTTCAGGTTGATGCTCTCTTCACCGTGATGATGTCTATGCTAGTTATGCTGCATTGCTGTTTTCAGGCTCGATTGGGCTTGCACTTGCCTTGAGGTGCCATCGCAGTGCCAGAGGGTTCATGCTTGGTGAGTGAGATAGAGGCACATTGTGCCAACAGTGACAAGACTGAAGCTGTGTGGGGTGTTACTCTAACACAGAGAGAGAGAGAGAGAGTGTCTGGCATTGTATGGATAATAGGATATTTGATTTATGCCTTTTTTAAGTATTTTTTGGTTTTGGGTCCTTGAAATCCTTTTTGAGTAGTATGACCACCTTTTTTTTGTGAATAAAAGTAAGTGTGCTGAATTGCTAATTGTGATTGGTTGACCTCCTTGTTTATTTCTGCCTGTTCTCAGTCAAGATTTGGAAATCTGTTCTATGTGAGAGAGGAGGGCGAGCAGCGGGCTCTTCTTCAAGCTGTTGATGCTATTCGCGACTGCTTGCAAAGAGAGAAGGGATGCAGGTGTGTGTGTGTGTGTGTGTGGTTATCTTTTACCGAAATCCATCACTTAACTTGTTTTTTTTTTTGGTTTTTTTTTTTAAAGCAAACATCAAGGTGATAGTCCACCATCCCCGGGTGGTGCAGGGCCCACCATGGAGATGGTTCTGATCTTGTTCACGGGGAGCAGCGTATGCTGAGAAACGGGCCCAGCTTCCCATAAACACAGCAGAAAGGATGTCAAAATGTCAGCAAGGTGAAAACACTGTTACTGTCTGTGATCTGGATGAAGAAGAGGAGCCAAAGTACCAGCCTCTTCAGGTAGCTACAAGCTGCCAGATAATGCACTCAAGAATCAAGACAAGCTAATCATGTGACTCTAACCTCAGGTTCCTACTAATCAAATTTCTGATCGTCCAATTCCAAACCATGAAAGATCCACCAGGCCATTCTCAGCAGGAGGAAAGCGATCTGTAAAATCTGTTTTTCTTTCTTTCGCTCGTGCTTTTCTTTTTTCAAAATCCGGACAGGGCCCGCTAGAGGGAGTGGTATTAGCAGCTCCCTCTATCGGGCCTGTCCCAGCATGCTCCGGTCTATCAATGGGGAGCAGCACCTGCTGGAAACCTGGTCCAGCATCCCATTGTACGACGCTTACAACCTCTACCCTGGGCCGTTACCCGGTTTTGGCTTTGAAGGTCCTTGTGGATATCGTACATGTGACAGTTGCACTGCCTCTTCAGTCCTCTACGGCCGCCAGATAGACAAAGTATCACTGGCTGTGCCCAGTTGCCCTTCTACATCATCTCAGCCCTCGCCGCCGTACCACTGCAGATCCACCAGCGAGAGCTGATAGGGTGGGAAGAGGTCTGGAAACTCTGACGAGGGTCGCAATGGTATCGCTGATCTTGGTCCAATCCATGAAGACGAGGCTGTAGTCCCTGTTAATCCCTTGTTCGTCTGCTTGGTCTTTCCCCCCCCCACAGAGGATGCTGGCAATCCCGCCTCCTTGGTGACCCCCGAACCATTCTTCTGAGAACCGCTTGATTGTCTGTTGAATGTCTTTTTTGGTGTGGAATAGATCCAATTGCGTCTTCACCTTTGATCATTGCTCTGTTAAGTCCATCTGCAATGATTGTAAAATCTGAAGTTGACCTCATTGGAAAGGGCTCTGGTCAATGTTGAACCTCCAGTACCTCACCCAGGCAAACTTCGGTGGCCCATCTGGGGTGTTCGGATGAACAGTGCCGGGGTGTTCAGATGAACGGTGCTACTGGACCAAAATAGCTGGCAGCACCAGCCAAAAAGGGAAAAAGTCCGCTGCTGCTGATTCATTTTCTTTTGGTGCGTGCAGTATTACGGCAGTATGAATGCGCGTCGAAAAAAAGAGACTCGAAAGTACTGGCGGTGTAAGCCTTTTAGACCAATTTTCAGGAAGGAAGGTGAACTCCATGAGATTTGGCAACATCCTCCTCAATCCTGACAATCAGCCTAGAGTCCGGGTTGCTCTCTGTTCTGAAGTTGTTGATTCTTGCTTCCTTTTCGTTTGGTTCGCTTAGGGGTTTCATATTTTCCAGTGTCTTGTGCCATTCCGGTAAGATAATTGTTTGTTTGACTAATGTGTGAGACTTTCTCACACACCTCTGACGCCTGAGAGAGATCCATTCTCCCTTTCACGGGTGCAGCTCTGAGTCCATATGCTCCATAATACCGCTTTTCTCCTCGGATAGAACCAATTACCATCTTCATCTGAACAGAACGCCTGGTCAGTATCGCTATATCTAGACTGGAAGTTGCTCCAAATGCATAGCTATAGTGACCGGCATTCTATTCAGGTGAAGACGGTAATGGTGAAGTCACCTCTCCTATATGTTGGCCCCAATGCGATGAGGGTGGCCTTCCAAATCCATGGCCATGGCTCTTCTGTTAGCAACCTCCACAACCGTTCCGACCACCGCTGCAGTACAACCGCTCTCGGGCAGGACAAGAAGAGGTGTCCGGGTTTGTCGTGGCGTCTCCCTAATCTCCCTGTGGGCCAGGCTGATTGCCGTCACTTGCACTGTGGAAGTGGTGAATCCTTCTGGTCTAGGTGGGTAAGATCCACCAGCTAATCCCTGGTAGGTGAACAACTATGCTCTCCCCACCACTGCCGGAAGGAAGTTTTAGAAGGTTTGCCCTTATAGTCCTCATAAAACTTGGTCCCAGGCAGCGAGGACTCCTCCCATTGAACCGACAGTACACGGCCCCCTTGCTGAAAATGTTTTGTCACCTGGTCCGACAAAGTCAGTGCCGGCGCGCCGTTTATAAAATAAATCAGCAGCTGGCGTCGCGTTTCGGCCTTTGACAGGGCCCTACTGCCGATGTGAGGCGTGTACTGGTGGTTTAATACTAAGGTGTTTCATCCATCGTTCTCTGACAGACCCAATTAAGTCCCTACTGAAGATCGACTTATGGGTAGCTTTTACGGAAAGGTCATGGAGCCATAAGAGATTGCCAATTCCTCCACTCCCCTTTTCCCCCCACCCCCCACGACCATGGCTCCACGTCCATTCATTAGGGTTGAAGGGAAGGTCCTCAATTTTAGTGCCCAGGAGGAAGACAAACCATTCATCGTCTTTATCCAGCACCCTCACCCACACTGCTGTGTCTTTTAATATCCAGTTAGAGTGTGTGGAGGGGGAGGGTCTTACCAAACTACCCCCATCTTGTATATGCCAAGGATCGACAAGTATCCTTTCCGTCGCAGTTCCTTCATGCCACCCACCTTTTCCTGCATTTCAGGAGAGCCAACTGAGTCCCCTTCTCTGGAAGTGGGACCTTCTTCAAGATTGGCCCCTCATTTAGGGGAATGGCAAATATTATTTTGCCAATCATGCCCGGAGAAGACAGAATGGCTTAGCTCGGAGCTCCGAGCACCAGCAGTGCCCGGAAAGAGTCCCAGAGCAAAAACACATGAGAGTGAGGGTAATCCAGGACCAGCACTACACTAAGACAAATGGACTTCTAGAAACCAAGTCAACAGCGGCACCAGCTCCAGAGAGACAAAGATCAAATGGTAGTCAGATGGGCTGAGAGCAGGGTTGCAGAGAGCGATTTCAAAAGCTTCAGGTTCAAAAAGGATCGGGGAAAGAGCAGGGGTGGAGAAGAGGCAAATCCTCCCAACTATTGGAAGCAATCAATGCTTCTGTCTCAGGGTCACTTGTCGTGTGAGTTTCTCTATATGTTAGGGACGCTGGACCCAGTCTCCAGTAACCATAAAAAAATAAGGGACGGGTTTGGGCGTTAAAAAAAGGGGTAGTTTAGTGGATGTGCAAGTATTGCCTGAGCAGGGGAAGATCGACAGAGTTGGTTGAGGAAGTGAGGTGGGGAGGAGGCGGGCGAGAGGTGGAGGGAGTGAAAGGAAAAGGGGGGGGAAGGGGGCGGTGGTTGGGAGAGAGAGAGAGATATATCGTCAAACAAAGCTGCCCGGTAAACCGTAGCCAGAGAGCCATTTTGCTTATTTCGGCTGCGGGCTCAAGGCACTTGGCGCAAGAGGCAGTTGCAACAACTTAACACGGCGATTCAAATAGAGCGTTTCGAATTGCAGCTGAGAGGCGTTGATCAGCAGGCACTGCAATCAGGTATCGACCCTCTCTTTGTTCGGGGAGTGATCTATGCCATCGTTCATATCCCCTCTAAGCATCTTTACATAGGTTAGACGATGCACTCCTCGCATCAACGTTCGCAGGAACATTGGCATGTTCGTCGTTCTGCTGCGGAGTTTCGGCGTCGCCAGCTCTACAATGTCATGTCTTGTTAAAACACCTTCAATTTTGCAGTCTGGCCCTTGGAACGTATTGACCCGGCCCTTTACCATACATCGCAAGGTCTTGTTGAGCGTAACCTTTTTCGACGGGCTGCTACGACACGGGAAGCCTATTGGGTACGCCGGTTGCGGACTCTTCATCCAGCTGGTCTCAACGCTGTCCTGCCGCTTGCTCGCCTGCCTGCAAGAAGACGACAACGTCGTCCTCATTGGTGGACACAGACAAGCCCTCGTTTGTCAGACCATCAACAGCCCCAACCTATTGATTTGCGCCCAGGCCCCGACTTTCAAATCCGGTCTGCATTGCACAATCTTCTCTCATAGGCTGCTGCTGGCAATTCGCAACTGATGGAATCTGTCATCCAGCAATCAACGTCATTTGGCGTGCCCGCCTGCTGCAGTGGTTGAGCAACAATATCTCCATTGCAGATATGACTGCGCATATCCGTCAGCTTGAATGCCTGATTTGGAAGTATCAACATGTCCGCCAGCGATACACAACTCAGTCTCGAGATGCCTTCATATTAAAGTTGTGCACATGCACGAGGTGTCTCAGGTAACAGCGCTGCGACAAGCCCTACATGCACCCCAAGTGCTCCACTTGCACCCTGACCCTGATGCCACAACACACTTGCGTATCTGTGATAAGTTGTTGCCGCCAACTCGCGTCCAATTCTCTAATTTCACGGAAGTTGCGCTCAACGTCACACTTGGGATCTCCCTGCCTGACCCCTCGGACTGTCAATGTCGGAAAGTGTTTCCCGACTGCTCACACTTAGTCGACGACCATGTTGTTACAGCCGACTTCAACATCATTCCTGATGATCGCCTCCGCGACTTGTTCCATGAAGGCTCGAAGTATCGTCTTAATGGACAAATCGTTGATGTGCTTCAGGCTGTTAGAGTCGACCTTGACGAGTATATTGCTAAATACTTGAGGTCGGTCTCCGAGCAGCTTTGGCCGACCACTCTGAACAAATTGCAGCAGTGGCGCTCAGCCGTTCTCACACGTTGCCAAAGCAACATCTCATCCCCCCACACTACCACACGACAACCGCACTCCCTTCACTCGGTGCACAGGGCTTTGAGACACCTTCAACAACACTTTGCTATTGTTCCTGTCGACAAGACCTCACATAACTTGGCAATCTGTTGTAAAAATTAGTACCTGTCTCATCTATTTGCTCATTTGGACAGCCCTACCTATGATGTGCCCCTTGAG